GACCCATCAGCTGCTTTAACCCTCTCAGCAGCCCTGAGGCTCGGATGATTGCTTCCCTTTTGTGGACGAGAAAGCTGAGAGGGAAAGGTTAAGGGACCTACACACTATAGGCAAGTGGCAGAGCCAGGAGTCAAAGCTGGGTCTGTCTGCCCACTTCCTGGCTCTCAGGGACCCTATGAAAGGATTCCCCAATCCCAGCATGAGACGAGGACCTTCTGAATATTTTTATGAAGCATCTTATATAATAAAGATGCTTCATAAAAATATTCAGATGCTAAGTGTCTGGTCGACGGGTAGGCTGTTCAACCAATCAATGTGTAATATGCTAATGTTATGCTAAAGCCTCTCAACTGCTTGCTATGATGTGCACTGACCACCAGGGGGTAGACGCTTCGACTGGTATGTTAGCTAGCTGCTGGGGTTCGGCCAATCAGGACTGAATGAGATGGGCCAGACACGCCCTGGAGCTCCCATGGTTCCTCCCCAGCTGACCAACCTCCCACATCTCTCCCTGGCCCTGATTGTGCACCAGTGGGCTCCCTCGGCCTGGCCTGCACCCTCTCACAAGGGATGTTAGAGAGCCAGTTTGGGCCTGATCCCACAGGCCAGGCTAAGGGACCCCACTGGTACATAAATTCATGCACTGGGCCTTTAGTGGTTTTATAAGCATGTACCGTGTTTCCCCGAAAATAAGACATCCTCTGAAAAAAAGACCTACTTACAGGTTTCCTTCTGAATGAAATATAAGGCATCCCCCCAAAAATAAGGCCCTCCCTAGGCTAAACGTGAGAGATTTGGTCCACTGATTCTGAAAGAAATGGAGTCACAAGAAATTCACCAGGAAATTCAGGAATTGGATTGTTATGATGATGTTCCAGAAGATGACGACATGATTGTCATTGAATAAATGAGTAAATTCTTGATACTGTAGGATTCACAGTTTGTCTGGTTTGTATTGATAACTACCATACTACCGTACCGTATACAGGTAATAAATTTCCTTTATTTTCATTTAACAATAAATGTGTACCGTATTCTTCTTCAAGGAAAAATAAGACATCCCCTGAAAATAAGACCTAGAGCATCTTTGGAAGCAAAAATTAATATAAGACACTGTCTTATTTTCGGGGAAACAGGGTAATAAGATTCAAGAATTCTTTCCCTGAGAGAGAGCTGACATGACAAGCAGTCAGTGACTTCTGAGTGAGTCTGTGTCATAGACAACAGCTACGAAGGGAACTCTGTGATGTCAGGGGAGGTTTTCAATCCCAAGTGACATAGAAGCAGAGGCCGTTCGGGTTCCAAGGGCCCTTACAGGGCTTCAAGGCCAAGCCGCCTTTTCAGTCAAAGAAACAAAGGCCCAGAGAGGGGACAAGACCTACTCAAGGTCACGTGGAGGCAGGTGCAGGGTAAGGACAGACCTAGGACCCCAACCTGCAGCAATCAAGGCAGTGTCCCTGACCGGCCCAGCCCAGGCCTGGAGACACCACAGTGAGTCTGATTCTCAGGCTTTTCTCCAAAAAGAGGCTACGGGTAGGCTGCCAACGCTTCGCTCCTTGCTCTTCCCATCCGTGAACGCCCAGGGACCCTGTCAGCTCTCTCACTGCTGGGCCATGGCCACAGAGACAGCATCGCTCTCCCCCTCCCCCAGAGCACACCCCGCTGTCTAGGGGTGCTCTTGCTTCTGCAGAACCGGTTCTGGAGTCCCTGAGTGTTGAAAGAGAGATGAGATGGGAGCAGGTCCCATTCCTGAGCACCTGTCGTTTTAGGATGTGCTTTTTCCACAGCTTCGGGATGTTCCCAGCCAAGATGGAAGCTGGCCAGCTCACCCCAGCTCACTCATCCCGTCAGCAAACACTACCAGGTCCTTGCTCTGGGCCAGCTCGTGGTGGGTGCTGAGATGTCAAGGAAAGCAAGTCCCCATAACCAACGAGGGGGCGAGGGGAGGGGAGAGGGGAGAGAGGGAGGTAATATGGTGCAACACGCACTAGGATGAGGAGGCACTGAGATGGGGGACCCAGGTGAGTGGCTCACATAGGCCAGCCTTCCTGGAGGAAGTGAATCTGAGAAGAGATCTGAAGAAGGAACAAGAGCGAGGTGGCAACAAAGGAGGTGAAGCGGCTATTCTGTGCAGCGGCTATTCTGTGCAGCGGGTACAGTTTGTACAACGGCTCGGAGGCAGGACAGCACAGTGCGTGCTGGAGAAGTTTATCAGAAAGAAAGCAGGTGCATTTTCCCGGCTGTCCCTCCAGGGAGAAGCAGCAGGTGCATCTGCGGCTACAAAGGCCAATTCCACCTGTCGAAGCTGTAAGTTCTCTACGTTCCGCCACGTGGAGGGCACGGAGAAGCACAGGTGTGCTCTTTGCACCCAGAACCTTCTCTCTCTCGCTGGGAGACAAGCACCGTTGCATTTCAGAGACCAGAGAATAAAGTGGTCTAGGGACCATCCCCCCGTGGTCACCGCCTCTCCCTGCATACCCCCAGCAACCAAGAGCAGCCCATCTTCCAGTCAGCCACCCCCTCAAGACAAGAGGTTCGATTGTGATCAAGAACACATGCCCTGCCGAAACCGGTTTGGCTCAGTGGATAGAGCGTCAGCCTGTGGACTGAAAGGTCCCAGGGTTGATTCCGGTCAAGGGCATGTACCTTGGTTGTAGGCACATCCCCAGTGGGGGATGTGCAAGAGGCGGCTGATCGATGTTTCTCTCTCATCACTGTTTCTAACTTTCTATTCCTCTCTCTTCCTCTCTGGGAAAAAATCAATTAAATATATTTTAAAAAAGAAAGAAAGAAAAGAAAAGAAAAGAAAAGAAAAGAAAAGAAAAGAAAAGAAAAGAAAAGAAAAGAAAAGAAAAGAAAAGAAAAGAAAAGAAAAGAAAAGGAAGGAAGGAAGGAAGGAAGGAAGGAAGGAAGAACACATGCCCAGGTTTAGGGCTTGATCCCCAGTGGGTGGCGTGCAGGAGGCAGCTGATCAATGATTCTCTCTCACCCCTGATGTTTCTATCTCTCCCTCTCCATTCCTCTCTGAAATCAATAAAAACATATTCTTAAAAAAAAAAAAAAAAAAGGATAAAATGACGTCTATGTATCCCCAAGTTCTGTAACAATTCAGGTGTCCCCCTTTCCTCATTGTTATATAGCCACAGTCCCTCAGAATGACTGGAAGGCTGGTTCTAGCATCAAGCTCCTCTCTCCGCATGCTTCTGAGAGTCCCCGAGGAAGGATTCCTGTCCCACAGATCCGTCCTCTCTGCAAGGCGGCCAGGGTGGCTCTGGCGACTGCTCCTCTCCCTCTGTAACCTGTTTCTCTGGCCATGATCTCCCCACACACCTTGTCCTGGAAGCCACCAAAGGCCCTGCACCCATCACGGTCCATTCAGGAGCACAGAAACCTCTCAGTCTCCCAAATCCAGAGATGTGAATACCAGGGAGTTGGTTACCCAGATGATGGAAGAGCTGATGAACCAAGGAGGAATCTGCTCCGCCCCTTGAGCTAAAGGGCAAAATTGGGGGAGATGGGGTGGAGGTTGGGAGAAGAGAGGTTACCAGGAGCTGGCCACCTGACAGAAAGACGTTGGTGCAGCCTAGCTGGAGGACACACAGCCATTGCTGGGGATGCCAATCAAAGCAAAGAAAGAGGGGAAGAAGGACCCTGACTTCTCTCCTCCAGCTCCTTCATGTGTCCCATTGGTCAAACCTATCGGGAAGCAGTTGACAAAGGAGTCTGGGAAATGTAGTTTCCTACAATTACAGGACGTGACTGGCACAAGCCAACCCTCAGTTCTCCCAAAGCACAGCTCACATCTGGCTGTTTTGTCAAACAAACTTTACCGAAGAGGGAGGGCTGACAGAAAGCAATGACAGCACAGCGAAGGAAAATGTCACTGCAGATCCCTGGCTGTCACAGCCTGCTGCTTCCGGAAGGCAGGCCCTCTGAGGCTCCCTCAGGAGCCAGCTCTCCTGCTACTGGCCTCAGCCCGCCGGGTCCCTGGGGTCAGCCAAACCCTCCCCAGGGCCAGAGGGCTCTGGCCATGTCCACCCTCACCAGAGCCCAGGCCCCTTCCGTGTTCCCTGTGGTCCAGTGAGAAAGAGAAAATAGTTCCTAAATTATTTAGAGAATTATTTCCTAAACACCCATCCCAACAAACTTCACGTGAATCCCTGTGGATACGGCTCCTGGGAGAAGGATAGTGTGGGTGAGCAGGTGGAATCTCCATTGTCCCAAACCACAGGTCCCTCATCAATGTTGCCCCCATCGTTAGCACAATGGACAGTTCCTGGAGTCTGAGCTTTGTACCTTCCTCCCTGACCTTTAGCAGTTCCCAGACCCTAAAGGCTCAGGTGCCAGCAGTCTCCCTAGGAGCAAGGTGACCCGCATCCCATCCTCCCGCACGGGGACCTGCTTTCAACGGGGCACATGGGGCAGCAGACGGCCTACACCTCCTGCCAGAGCAAAGCCAAGGAGTCCTAGCTTTGCCTTGGCCACAGGAACGTTCTGGAATATGCTTTCTGCTCCCTGGTCCAGTTCTTTTCCGTAGGGAAAACCCCTGGGAGTGGGGCTACTAGGGCAACATGCACGTGCGCCAGGCTTTTGCCACCCGGTGCCAAATTGCTCTCTGATAAGGCATACGGCGTGGATTCTCTCTGCCTTCCCTGCCTCTCAGCGCCCTGATAACCACTGAAGAGTTGTCCTGAGATGAATCAGCCACCAGACCAGACAAACAGGCCAGCCCGTCACCGTCGCTGCTTTCTGCATCTGAGAAAGGAACTCCCTTCACTCCCACCCAGGACCTGGAATTCCGGAGCACCCACACCAGGCACCTTTGTACCCGCGCCCCACTGCTCAGGCCCCACCCTCCCCGGCCGGCCCCGCCCTGGGCCCTGAGCCCTGAGCCGGGTGGAGCCAGCTGCCAGGGCGGCAAAGCTTCCCAGCCTCCCTCAGCAGCGCTTGGCCCGGAGGGGAGGCCAAGAGGGTTGTGTGCCCGGTGGCCCAGCAGCCCGATGAGGACGCTACTGACCATCCTGGCTGCGGGATCCCTGGCCGGTGAGTGCCCGTTGCCCCGTGGCCCCCACCTGCCCCGGGAGCCGGTGCTCAGGGGCATCTCCCTGCACCTGCCTGGCCCAGGGCGGCCAGTTTCAGTTTCTTCTCTGCTGGGACTGAGCTGCACACTGGGACGGGGTGGGCAAAGCCCTGCCTCCCTCCTCACCCCAGGGGGCCTCTCCCAGTCCTCGCTAGAGCGGGAAGAGCATTTTCTCCCTCCGTGGCCAAGTGCGCAGCATGGATAGGTCCTAAAGCGCCTGGCCCTCTCCGAAGGGGCTGAAAGGGCATAGTTTTCAAATACAATTGGGTGGATTTTTTTAAATCCTCACCCAAAGATGTGTGTTTATTGATTTGAGAGAGAGAAGGAGCGAGAGGGAGAGAGAGAGAGAGAGAAGCATCAATGTGAGAGAGAAGCCTTCCATATGCACCTCAACCGGGGGTCAAACCCACAACCTGAGTCTGTGCCCCGACTGGGAATTGAACCTGCAACCCTTTTTGGTGCACAGGACGACTCTCGGGCCCACTGAGCCGCCGGGCGGGGCTGGTGGATGTTTTGATTCGTCATTAAGGAGAATTCCTGGCAGAAGCGTGAATTCCTAAAGTGTGTCTGCTCTCTAAGAAGCTTAATAAAACTAGGGAACGTTCTCAGGAAGTAAAAGCATAATCCTTGCCGGGGAGAGGGAGACGGCCTGGCCAAGGCCTTGCTGTTCAAGAGCAGGATGGGCCCACCAAGGACCAGAGCTTCCCGGCCAGTGCTGACGGGACCCAGTGCTGATGGGACCCACAGTGCTCCCAGCTGCCGCCCCGGCCCCTCCAGTCTCTTCTCTCCCTGCCATCACACCAGCCCAACACACTGGCCTTCGATAAGCTGGGAAGATATGCATCCTCAAGAGACACCAAGACGTGTTCCTTTAGACCCCCCACCCTTTCTGGTCGGGAGCCATGGAGGCTCCTGGCCCTTTAAGACAGGGAACCCAGCAGAAGCAGTCCCTGGGAGGTTGGTAAGGTCACTCCGGGACCCGGGTTCGCTCACTCCAGCTTTCTCAGGCTGATTCCAGAGCGTGTTGAATTGCCTTTGTTGTTTGTTTGTTTTTCCTCAGCTTCCCATCTGGTTGACATAATTTATTTATTCATAAAAATGTGCAAACGTTCTTTTATAAAATCTACTTTTTGTCAGCCTCTGCAACACACGTTTCCCCGGGATTTCACAATGTAGACTTTCATCCGGGAAGTGTAGACATGACACAGGCTGAGGAGCGGAGGATGCATTTGAGGAGGAAAGGGAATGAGTGGGGTGAGAGGAGAGGGGAGAACTTGTTAGCCCTAGACACCTCCTAAAAGAGGGGCCCTGCCACCCCATTTCAGGGAGCCACCTTCAGTTCCTCCTTAGCGGTGGACACTCCACCCAACGGGGCCATGGCCTCCTGAGCATGCCCCAGCCTCAGCCACCTGCCTTCCCTCCACCCGAACAGCCCACAGGATACTGACCCCAATGAGCCATCTTCCCACTGCAGACCCCACCCCTTCACTGCGGGAGGCTAAGGCCCCTCTCCCCGCCTCCCCTCAAATCCCAACCTCTCTCCCTCCTGCCCTTGACCTTACCACCCCACTGGAAGCCGCATTATGTTCTGACTTCAATAGAGCCTTTGCCTTCCTAAGAAGGCAGATAGGAGGAAGACAGGAATTGGTTTGACTAGCAGAGATGCAGGAGTTTACAAACATCTTTATCTTTTATCAAAATTACTGACTTTGGGCAAGTTACTTCTTAGACGTCTTAGTTGATTATCTCTAAAAATATGAGTGAAGATACCAACTTCAGGTGGTGTTATGAAGTAAATGAGAGCACCCTAGCCAGTTTGGCTCAGTGGGTAGGCCTGTGGACCCAAGGGTCCTGAGTTCAATTCCCAGTCAGGGCACCTGCCCGGGATGCAGAACTGATCCCAGTAGGGGGCGTGCAGGAGGCAGCTGATCAATGATTCTCCTCATTTATTTTCTTTCTTTCCCTCTCCCTTCCTCTCTGAAATAAATAAAGATATATTTTTAAAAAGGAAGTAAATGAGAATAACAACAAGTGCTGGAAAGGATGTGGAATAACTGGACCACTCAGACATTGCTGGTGGGGATGTGAGATGGTGCAGCCACTTCGGAAAACAGGTTGGCGGTTCTTCAAAAACGTAAACATAGGGTCACCATCAGACCCAGCTATTCCACTTCCAGCTGAAAGCCCAAGAGAACTAAAAACACATGCCCGTTTGGAAATGTGTATACAAATGTTCACAGCAGCATTAGTCACAAAAACCAAAAAGTGGAAACAACACCAACATCCATCAACTGAAGAATGGATAAGCAAAATACGGTATATCCATACAATGACATATTACTCAGCATGCATTCATGCTACAGCATGGATGAACCTTGAAGACATTGTGCTAAGTGAAAGAAGCCAGACACAAAGGCCACATGCTGTATAACTATTTATATAAAAAGTCCAAATAGCAAATCCATAGAGGCAGGAAGGGGGTTTGTAGTAGCCTAAGCATGGGATAGGGAAAGAATGGAGAGAAGACTGCTAATGGACACGGTGATATGCTAGTAGTAGTGGTTGGCATTTCATTGTGGTAATGGTTACACGGTTTTGTAATATAATTTAAAAAACCACTCACTTGTGCGCTTTAAATGGTGACTTTTATGGAATGTGAATTATAGCTCAATAAAACGAAAATGATTGGTTTGGCTCAGTGAATAGAGTGTCGGCCTGCGGACTGAAGGGCCCCAGTTTGATTCCAGTCAAGGGGCATGTACCTTGGTTGCAGGCACATCCCCAGGGGGAGGTGTACAGGAGGTAGCTGATGGATGTTTCTGATTCTCTATCCCTCTCCCTTCCTCTCTGTAAAAATCAATAAAATAGATTTTAAAAATAAATAAACAAATAAAAGAAACTAAGAAGTGACAGAGAGTAGTGATGGTCCCTGAGCGCAGTCTCTGGTGAAGGCGCAGGTGCTGTTTCTCACTCCCCCTCCTTGGACACTTTGTGCTGGGCGGCGGGTGGGGTGGACTGGCCTTCTGCTCACCCTGCTCTCCCTTCCTGCAGCTCACATTGCTGAGGACACCTCAGATCTCCTCCAGCGGGTGGCATTCCTGTCCAGCAACTTCGAAAACATCCTGACTTGGGACAGTGGGCTGGAGAGCGCCCCAGACACAGTCTACAGCGTCGAGTATAAGACGTAGGCTTCCCTCCCAACATGATCTCTTCTGACCCTGCTCTGAAACCAGCCCCCCCAAGAAAGCATCCCCTTCCACGTGCCCACCGTCCCCCACCCCTGACTGGTGCTACGCCCCCCAGTATAGCTTTACACTTGGATTCTTTTGCAGGGGGAGGAGGAAATAATGGTTAAAAGTATGGGTCTGGTTTGAGTGCCAGCCCTCAACTAAATCACCTTGGACAATTGGGTAACCACTCCAAGCCTCAGTTTCCCCATCCATAAAGTAAGAATAGCAATAGTATCTTCATCATAAGGTTGTTAGGTGGGTAGTCATGGACACTGGGGCCCCGCGAATAGTTGTTTTATTATTATTGATGAGACTAAGCCAACATAAAACTGTGCCCACCCCTTGGTATCTATGCCCTTGGTCCCCCACAGGGAAGGCAGGTTGGCATGGGCTCAGGGTCTGCAAACCCAGCTTTCATTCCTGGTCCTGCCACGTCATCCTGAGGCTAGTCATTCCCCTTCTCTGAGCCTCAGTTCCCTCATCTGTAAAGTGGGGTAACAGTGCCTGCCCCAAAGGGTTATGATGACAATGAGCCCAGGATGTGGATTCAGACTGGCTGGGTTCAAATCCTGCCCCCCCTCTCCCCCCAAGCTTGCTTCAAACACCTGGGCGTCCTAACCAGTTTGGCTCAGTGGATAGAGCGTCGGCCTGCAGACTGAAAGGTCCCAAGTTTGATTCCAGTCAAGGGCATGTACCTTGGTTGCGGGCACATCCCCAGTAGGAGGTGTACAGGAGACAACCAATCAATGATTCTCACTCATTGATGTTTCTAACTCTCTATCCCTCTCCCTTCCTCTCTGAAAAAAATAAAAATAAATCAATAAAATATATTTTTTTAAAAAACAACAATCACCACCTGGGCATAATTTACTCCTAAGCCCCAGCTTCCTTATTTGAAAAGGAGCGAGAATAATGTCTAGATCTCACGGGATCGATGTGAGGACTAACAGATCATCCACATAAAAGGCCTGGGACACAGAACATGCTAAGTAAACATTAGATAGCGTTATCATTCTTAATAAGCCACAGGCTTGACACCAGGCCTATTCATGCCCGGTGTGCTCGGCCCCTCCCTGGCCCGCAGGTACGGGGAGCCGGCGTGGCTGGCAAAGGAGGGCTGCCAGCGGATCACCCGGAAATCCTGCAACCTGACCTCGGAGACAGGCAGCCTCACGGATCTCTACTACGCCAGGGTGACCGCCACCGGCGCGGGGGGCCGGTCCGCCACCAAGATGACCGAGCGCTTCAGCTCGCTGCAGCACAGTGAGTGGGGCCCCTCTTACCGCGGGGCCCAGCGGGCCTGCCTTCATGGGTGGGAGCGGGGCTGCGCGGGAGGCGGCTTTTAGGGAAGGCATCCCGATGGAGAACACCCCCCGGGGGTTGTTCATCCTCATCTCCATCCCACACCCCCTGGTTCAGGCCACTCCACCTTCTCTCCAGGACACCTCAGGCCTCTGAACTTGGTCTCCACCCCTCCCCCACCCCCACCCCCACCCACACACCCCACCCACACACCCACACACCCAAACACTTATGTTTTATTGATTTTTTACAGAGAGGAAGGGAGAGGGACAGAGAGTCAGAAACATCAATCAGCTGCCTCCTGCACACACCGTACTGGGGATGTGCCTGCAACCGAGGTACATGCCCTTGACTGGAATCGAACCTGGGACCCTTGAGTCTGCAGGCCGATACTCTATCCATTGAGCCAAACCGGTTAGGGCCACGCTCCTCCTTTGACTCTGTTCCAATCCTGAGTCTGGTCTCAGCTTCCACATCACCTCCTATGTGAGCATCCCCACTCCCTGCCCCCACCCTGGTGTTCTCTATCAACATCAACTGTTCATGGTCTTCGTGGCTCATATCCCCGATCTCCAGTTCCTTTTTGCTTCCCTGTACGTCACCGGCCTCCACCGCTGACACGTGAGCTCCGTGAGGGCGTGCGTGGGTGTAAATTCGCCGAATTCCCAGATTTAGCGTGGCGCCTGGCACATGGGAGATGCTCCATTTGAAACTGATGAAAGAAGGAAGGAATAAAGGAAGGAAGGAAGGAATATGCATTGCCAAATTCCCCATGCTAGTTAAGCAGGTGATGTTTACTACTGGTAACTCAACAACCACATGTTTGTTTTTTTTTAAGAAAATAAAAAATTAGCCCTGGCTGGTTTGGCTCAGTGGATAGAGCATCAGCCTTCAGACTGAGGGTCCCAGGTTCAATTCTGGTCAAGGGCACATGCCTGGGTTGCAGGCTTGATGCCCATTAGGGGGCATGCAGGAGGCAGCCAATCAATGATTCTTTCTCATCATTGATGTTTCTATCTCTCTTTCCCTCTCCCTTCCTCTCTGAAATCAATAAAGAGATATTTTTTTAAAAAATTAAACAAGCTATTTTGTTCTTTTCTTGTCTTGTTCAATTAATACATGTTTATTATAGAAATTGTTGAAAATATAGACATACACAAAGAAACATAACAGTAACCCCAAATAATCTGAACATTTAAATATAACTGTTGTTGCTAGCAACTTGGTAATCTGGCTGTTTGTTTTTATAGATTGGTATCCTGGGCATTTATTTGCTCATGCCCATTAAATACTTTTTCATAGTATTATATTTCACTGCTAAACATTATCCATTCTAGGCCTGGTGTTGCTGTGATTGAGGGTCAACCTATGAGCCAGAAGGTCACAGTTTGATTCCCAGTCAGGGCACACGCCTGGGTTGTGGGCTTGATCCTCAGTGGGAAGCATACAGGAGGCAGCCAATCAATGATTCTCTGTCATCATTGATGCTTCTCTTTCTCTCTCTCTCTCTCTCTCTCTCTCTCTCTCTCTCTCTCTCTCTCTGAAATCAATAAAAAATACATTTTTTTAAAAGGATCCATTCTATGCAAGTACCCTAACTTATTTCTCTAATTCACTTTTGAAGACATTTAACTCAGTTTTTCAGTTTTATGCACACCAAGTGAACATTCTTTTGGCTCTGATGATTTTGATCTTGGGGGTCAATGGACCCTTGAGGGCTTTCATAAATTAGCTTTAGGGGAAGTGGAGTTCATGAATCCCTAAAATTGAGGGCAAGTTTTTTGGATATGTCCATTTTAGAGGAGAGAAGAACCATCTCATTCATTCAATTGCCAGAGGGGTCTGTAAACCAGTCAAGGTCATTTGGCTGTTTAGAAAGTCTGTCTGAAGAAAGACTAAACTCTTAGGCCTGGCCATTGAGCTGAATCAATAATATTGGGCACCCCAAACATGTCATTGAACTATCATCAGTCCCTAAAGCTATCTGCCAGGAGGCTAGGGAGAAGGGTGCTACAGGCAGACTCTTGGTGGGGTGAAGGGCCCCGGATGTAGGGGTGCTGAGCCAAAGGCATGATCAACCACCTAGGGGCCAGTGTCCCTCTCCCCAAGATCTTCCTACTGACTCTTGGTCACCCTTTTGCCATCCTTAAACCCAAACACCAGCTGCTTGCAGAATTGCTCTTTTCTCTCCTGTTTGAGAGTCAACCTATGAGCCAGGAGGTCACACATAGCTGGGGCTGACGTGGGAGGAGCAGGAAGCAGACTACTCCTCCAGGGCAGCCTCACGCACTACAGGCTGGTTTTGATCTCTTTCTTTTCCTTCCTCTCTCTCCCTTTTGCCAGCTACCATCAAGCCACCTGATGTGACCTGTATCCCCACAGTCAGATCCATCCAGATGATTGTCCATCCCACCTCCACGCACCTCCGGGCCAGGGATGGCCACCGGCTGACCCTGGAGGAGATCTTCCATGACCTGTTCTACCGCTTAGACCTCCACATCAACCAGACCTACCAAATGGTAAATACATGGCAACTACATGTGCCACCCTGGTCCTTCCCTGCCCGGGAAGCCCACTTCCCTCTCAGTTAGATCTGCATTGCTTTAAGGAGGAAGGAGATGTGTTACATAAATTAGCATTTCCCAGCCCATGTCCACAGCCTCTCCCCAGCGGAGTCACGTACACAGGAGCACGCTAAAGTCTCTGACAAGTCCTGGCCACACAAGACCCCAGTTCACATTTGTGTTTGACACAACTTCTCCCAAACGTATTTGACCTTTTATTTTGCACGATATTGGTTTTCTTAGCTTTTTGCCTAATGTTTTCTAACATGCTGGGAACAACCTTGATTAACTCCCTCAGGTGTCCACTTCCGGAAATGCTGGACTCCGCTGCTACCACTGCATTTCTTTTGGCTGGTTCTCCACTGTTTGTGGGAACTGGATACAGGCAGTGCCTTAGATCTGTAATAATGAGAGATGCAAGGCAAGGGCATGAATTGTCAAACAATACACAAGTGATTTCCTTTTGTATTCAGAAAATATGTGGTATTTCCCCCCAGCATGTGCCACTAACTCATAATTCCATTGACTATTTCTGTTCTCAAGGTAGTGGTGGTGAAGGTGGTGGTGGTGGTCATGGTAGTGATGATCGTGGTTGTGGTAATGGTGGTCATGATAGTGGTGGTAGCAGTGGTGGTGGTGGTGGTCGTTATGGTTGTTATATTAGTGATGATGGTGGTAGTGATAGCAGTGATGGTGGTGATGCTGCTGGTAGTGGTGGTCATGGTAGTGAGGATGGTGGTAGTGGTAGCAGTAATGGTGGTGGTGGTGATGGTGGCAGTGGTAGCAGTAGTGGTGGTGGTGGTTGTCATGGTAGTGATGATGGTGGTTGTGGTAAGGTGGTCATGGTAGTGGTGGTAGCAGTTGTGGTGGTGATGGTGGTTGTGGTCAGGAAATGGTGATGGTGGCAGTAATGATGTTGGTGACAGTGGTGGTAGTGGTGATAACAGCAGCTAGTCTTTACTGAGTGCTTATTATGCACCAGACACTCTTCTGAGTGAGAGCACATGGGCGTGGTGACTGACTAGGTTTGGGGAGAAAGCAGGAGGCAGGGGGACGGGGAGAGCCTGACAGACTGAATGCCCTTTCCGGTTTGGGAACTGCTGGTGCCCGTGCACTGAGTGCAGTGGCCCAGGCGGAGGTGTGAGCGTGTAGGCGACCCGGGCTCCGCGGGAAGGTGGGTGTATGAGAGGAGTCACGCTGGGTCCCTCCCAATTCCAGCACCTCGGAGGCAAGCAGAGAGACTATGAGTTCATCGGCCTGACCCCCGACACGGAGTTCCTGGGGACCATCACCATTCTTGTCCCATCCTGGTCCAAAGAGAGCGCGCCCCACACGTGCCGCGTGAGGACACTGCCGGGTGAGTGTGGCTGGAGCCGAGGGAGGCGGGGCCCCTGATTCAAGCCCTGACCGCGCTTTCCTCCCTGTAACCAAGGCGAGGCGGGCAGTGCCCTCAGAAGCTGCGAAGGGTGGTTATTAAAGTCCGTCTTTGTTTGTCCACAAACGCAGTAGCTGATGGTTATCACGGGCCCGTGTTTAATCTCCTCGCTTCAGCCTGGGTCCGGATTTCCTCTCTCCGGCCTGCTTAGTGTGCACCCCGACACAGCAACGGCGCCTCCATATTAACCCTGGCGACGGGCCCTGGGAGATTATCTGCAGGGGGAGCGCAGAGGAGATAAAAAGGTCCCTCCATATCTGCCAGGGTCAAATCATAACAAGAGCAGTGAGAGCTCGCATCTGTGCCGAGCTAACCAGGGTCCAGGCCCGACCAAGCGCAGCCCTGACATGGCCCTCATTTGACAGAGGAGCAGGCGGGGCCAGAGTGGCTAAGTCGCTTGCCCGAGATCACACAGGTGCCGAGGGATAGAACCTTCTGGAGGTCATGCTCTCCCCGTTGTGCTGGGGTGAGTCACTGGCTGGGCACGATGGCCCCACTCTCCCTTCCCTTCCTCTGGCACCTCGGAACCGGACTCTTCATGAGCGGGGTGACGTCTTCCTGCTGTTTGTTTTCACAGACGGATGGGAATGTGATGCTCAGAGCAGCGAGTTTGGAGGGAGAAAGGGACGGCAGGGGTTGGATCTGGAGAGCCAGGCGCCACCTTAGTCATCGGGTTTACTAGTAGATGAATGAGCCGGTGATTCTGTCCCGATAAACCAGGAGCTGCCCACGGGGCCCCAGGGTAGGACGGCAGCTGGGAGACTCTGCCGCAGGTCGGTGCTAGTCCTCAGTTTTGAGCCCGATTCCTCCACCGCGGAGCATGCGTGTCTGGGGAGACTGCCCGGTGGAACAGCCAGCACTGGCCATGTGCCGGGGCACGCCCTCCTTGGGGACAGGGTCACCCAGGAGACCAGAATAGAATTTGGCAAGAGGAGAAGTAGAGAAAGGAAACCAGTGGTGCAGGCGCTAAGCTGGGAGCGTGTAGATGGCCGTGGACCCTCTCCCCCGGCCCACACTAGGCAAATCTCACCCGTTCCTGGCCCGCCCCTGCTCCGCCTGCTTTTGACAACAGGTGGACCACTCCTCCCTCATCCTTCCAATGGATTGTTCTCTCATAAGTTAGCTCACGATGTGATGCCGCCTTTACATAAATTCCACTTCTTTAAAAAAAAAAAAATATATATATATATATATATATATATATATATATATTTCTTTATTGATTTCTTTATTGATTTCAGAGAGGGAGATGGGGAGAGAGAAAGAGACATCAATGATGAGAGTCATCGATTGGCTGCCTCCAGCACGTCCCCCACTGGGGATCAAGCCCGAAACTCAGGCATGTGCCCTTGGCCGGAATCGAACCTGGGACCCTTCCAACTACAGGCCAGCACTCTATCTACTAAGCCACACCAGCCAGGGCTAAATCACACTTCTTGTTGGCTATTGCCTGCTGGCACAAAGAAGGCACCTTATTCTCAAAAAAAAAAAAAAAAAGGTGTATTAATAACAATGCCTGCCATTTATTAAATCCCTACGCTATTGCCACGCACTGTTAAACGCTTCGCCTACATCATCCCGTTCGATTTGTATAACAATCCTGCGAGATGGGTAGCCTCATCCCCATTGCACAAAGGAGGGACTCTGGCTCAGAGAGGTTAAGCAACCTGCAGGCGACCACACAGCTGGCCAGCAAGCTAACCAGGTCCATCGGGTCCTGCAGCCCGAGCTCCAACCCCCTTAGCCATTCCGCTCACAGCTAATCGCCTCCGCCGCACACTTATTCCCCTGCCCGCCGTTTCAGAGTGCTACGTCCTGCCCTTGACCCCGTCTCCCGGGCCTGTCTTACCCCCAGAGCCTAGACTCTCCACTGGATCTACCTCTCAGGGCATCTGGGACGGTCACAGCACAACATCCTGGTATCTTTTTTTTTTTTTTTTAATATATTTTATTGATTTTGTACAGAGAGGAAGGGAGAGAGATAGAGAGTTAGAAACATCGATGAGAGAGAGTCATCGATCAGCTGCCTCTTGCACACTCCCTACTGGGGATGTGCCCGCAACCAAGGTACATGCCCTTGACCGGAATCGAACCTGGGACCCTTCAGTCCCCAAGCCGATGCTCTATCCATTGAGCCAAACCGCTCTTGGCCAACCTGGAATCTTGATGCTGGAAAGGACTCTAGGGGTCACCTCACTCCGCATCTAACTTCCGCAGATGAGGAAACTGAGGCGTCCTGATGTTGGGTCTGTGAGGATGAGCTTTGGAGTTACGCATATCCATTCTGACTTTCCCACTGCATTGCTGTGTGACCTTGGTCAAGTCGCTTAACCTCTCTGAGACTCAGCTTCATTATACTACCGTGTTTCCCCGAAAATAAGACATCCTCCGAAAATAAGACCTAGCGCATGGAAAGATAAGACATCCCCTGAAAATAAGACCTAGCGCAACTTTGGGAGGAAAAATTAATATAAGACACTGTCTTATTTTCGGGGAAGCAGGGTAGTACATAAGCAGGGCATCTCCCTGGCTCTCTGTGTTTGACGGGATGACGTAAGTAGAGCACAGGGCATGGCAGGTTTAAGAATTCAGTGATCGCCGGCTGCTGTCCCTCCTGCGTGGGAGAGCAGAGAGGGCTGCGACAGAGAGGAGGATGCTCTGCATTCCAGGGGCCGAGCCCCCCACCCGCTAGTGCTGTTTCTATTCCTCCTTCCTGTCCCCTCGTGGGTGAAAGGGTGTGTGGAAAGTTCCATGTCCCTGTCCTGTGCTGGTACCAGGACAGTGGTTTTCCATGAGGCATGTCACGTACAGACGGTCGGGTCAGATCTTCTCCTTGGAGCGTGCCGGGAGTGTCATGTGGCCGGGCAGGGTACGGCGGAGCACAGGCGGGGGGAGGAGCGAGGGGTGGGCTAGCGCTCACGGTGACTGCCAAGGTCACGGGCAGCTGGTGTGCAGCCTCTCCAGCTGAGCCACACGGGGTGGGAACAGGGTGTGCGTTAAAGAGTCAGGACCGTGGATAATGCCAAGAGCCTGTTTTAAACAAAAAGCTCCAATGGCTTCTTCCTCAACAAGCCCCTCGCCGGTCCCCCCTGGGCTGGTGACAGGAAGTGTGCCATGCCTAGCTGGGCCCACCCCAGAGCCGGGACCGTGGGAGAGGAAGAGGAGAGGGAGCGCACGAAGGCCCTCAGGCGTCTGTTTCCTTCCCTTTTATTTATTTTTATTTTTTAAAATATATTTTATTGTTTTTTTACAGAGAAGAGGGAGAGGGATAGAGAGTTAAATACATCGATGAGAGAGAAACATCAACTAGCTGCCTCCTGCACACCTCTATCAGGGATGTGCCCGCAACCAAGGCACATGCCCTTGACCAGAATCGAACCTGGGACCCTTCAGTCCTCAGGCTGGTGCTCTATCCACTGAGCCAAACCAGCCAGGGCTGTTTTCTTCCCTTTTAGAAAGGGCAGTGCCTCCCCACAGCCTCCTGAACAAGGTGGTCCCCAATACCCAGCCCTGTGGTTGGAAGGGAGGAGGGAGGACGGCCCCTCCCCTCACCTCCCTCCATTCTCCACCCCGCTGGCGTGCAGACCCGCCCATGGCGGCTATTGGTCCGGGGCCTGGATGAGCTTGGCCATGTGGGCTGGGGCGTCCTCACCCATGCGAGGCCCTGGCACTGTGAGCTGCAGCCGGTGGGCAGGGGCCTAACCCTAACCCTAACCCTAACCCTAACCCTAACCCTAACCCTAACCCTAACCCTAACCGTACCCCAAGGAGCCCGAGAACAGAATTCCAACCGGGCCTCCCAGCTCGTAATGAAAAGCACATCTGTCTCGGTGGGAGCATCGATCCTCTTTCCAAACAGCGGGAAAACAGGGTTGACAAACTGAATGTTCAGAGGGGTGAGTGGGGGGGCGGGGAAGAGGGGGCAGGGGGGATGGGAAGGAGACTCTCTCATGTGCTCTTGCAACCCTCCCAGTAGCAGAGGCTCCCAGCCCGGCCTGAGGGGAAGGAAGCCTGGGAGCTCAGCACCCACGCTGCTGCTGCTCCGCTCGCCGCTCGGATGGACCCGGCCTCACCCTCCCCGTTCAGCCTTCCCGGCCTCACCCTCCAGTTCAGCCTCCCCGGCCTCACCCTCCCCGTTCAGCCTCCCCGGCCTCACCCTCCCGTTCTGGCCTCCCCGGCCTCACCCTCCCGTTCAGCCTCCCCGGCCTCACCCTCCCGTTCTGGCCTCTTTGCAGACCCGACATGGACCTACTCCTTCTCCGGGGCCTTCCTCTTCTCCATGGGCTTCCTGGTCGCAGCGCTCTGTTACCTGAGCTACAGATACGTCACCAAGCCGCCCCAGCCCCCCAACTCCCTGGTGAGCACCACCTGGGGCAGGAGGAGGAGGGTGGGAGGACCAGGGCAGATCTCTCTGAAATGCAGGGGTCAGCACACGAGGGCTCAGTTCTCCCTCCGCCATGAAGAGCCTGGCCAGGTGGGCCCGGCGTCTCTTCCATGCCAGGTCCCTTGGGGATATGCACTTGAAAAGCCCCCCATGACCCCTGCTCTGGCCTCTGCCTCCCCATGGGACCGCCCACCCGCCTGCCCCCCCGCCCCCCGGCGGCCTCGGGGAGCTGGACGGGGCCCTAACGGGGCTGCTGTTGTCCCCAAGCAGGACGTCCAGCGTGTCCTGACCTTCCAGCCTCTGCGGTTCATCCAGGAGCACGTGCTGGTCCCCATCCTGGACCTCAGCGGCCCCGGCGGCCTGGCCCAGTCCTGCCAGTACTCCCAAGTCATGGCGTCTGCGCCCAAGGAGCCCGCGGGGGTCCCGCTGCGGCATGGCCGGCCTGAGGTCACCTACCTGGGGCAGCCGGACCTCTCCCTCCTGCAGCCCTCCCAGGCACTGCCTCCCCAGACCGGCTCCCCGCCATCCTACGCGCCCCAAGCTGCCCCTGAGGCTGGGCCCCCGGCCTACACGCCTCAAGCCACCCCCGAGGCCAAAGCCCCGTCCTACGCTCCTCAGGCCGTCTCTTCCTACACCCCCCAGGCCGCCCCGGACAGCTGGCCGCCGTCCTACGGGGTGTGCATGGAAGCATCTGGCAAAGACTCCCCTCCTGGGACGCTCCCTAGTCCCAAGCCCCTCCGGACGAAGGGCCAGCTCCAGAGAGAGCCCCCAGCTGCTGGCCTCTCCCTGCAGGCGGTGGCTCCCGGGGCCTGGGAGGGGCCCCAAGAGGCCAAGTCCTTCCCCCAGCGCCTGTGCGCTGACACGGACAGAGCACCCAGCACTGCGGTGCTGCACCAGGGGGAGCCCGGAGCTCCGGGCTACCTGAAGGGCCAGCTGCCCCTCCTCGCCTCCGTCCAGATTGAGGGCCGCCCGGCGTCCCTCCCCCTGCACACCCCTTCCCTCCCGCGTCGTCCCACGGACCAGGCTTCACGTCCCGGGGGGCTGCTGGAGTCCCTCATGTGTCCCAAGGACGACGGGCCCGGGTCCGAGCCTGAGGCCACGAGCGTGGTGGCCCCTGGGGCCTCAGCCCCGGAACAGCCCACAGAGCTGGACTCCCTCTTCAGAGACCTGGCCCTGACCGTGCAGTGGGAGGCCTGAGTGGACAGCAGGACGGCCTGGGGCTTCCCCGTCACCCCCAGCCCAACCTCACGTCTGTCCGCTGCCGGCACCCCCAGCCCAGCCGCCTCGGTGGGGGCGCTGAGGGAGCCAGAGGGAGGGCAGGCGGGCGCCGTGGGCCTGCCACCGCTGGAGCAGGAAGGCACGGTGAGGACATCAGATGGGGAGTGACCGGCACGCAGCCTGTGCCAACGTGTGTGTGCCAAAGAGTGCATACGCAGAGCCCTGCAGGGAAGGTGGGACAGTCAGTGCGGGGAGGTAACGCAGGGGGACCCCCGAGGCCGGGGCCCAGTCCCTCATACGCTGGGCACAAGGTCCTCCAGGCACCTACGCCTCCTCGCCCGCTCCTGGCCAGCTTCAGAGTCTCCTCGGACAGAGCGGGAGGTCGGCCTCCTCTGACTCCCGGTGAGAGAAGGTGAGAGGAGGTGAGAGAAGGAGCTGGGGACGGAGGCCTCGCAGCAGGCTGGGCAGAACCGGAGCAACCTGCGCTTCTGCCGAGGCGGGCGGGCAAGACTCCAGGGCGGGGTGCGGCCTGGGGCTCCCTCCCAGCCGGGGCTGCTGCCTGCAGTCCCGCATTGCAGCTTCATTCCTTAGCTAGAGGCTGGGCCCGAGGGAAGTGCAGGTCCCCCTTCACACCACCCCAGGAGGAAGGGTCTCCCGTGGAGGAGTTGCAGACCCCATCCTGAGAGCAGGGCTGGAAAGGAAACAGGCCCACGTGGCCCCTGGAGGAGACACAACCAACAGCAGCACTGACTTCACGACCTTGAAAACTCGGCCTCGGGGTCAGCCCGACTGGGTGCAAATTCCAGCCTCGCCACTTACCCCCGGGTGACTGAAAGCAGACGAGTCAGCGCTCAAAACCCCCGTTTCCTCCTTGGTACATGGGTATGGGAACGCCTACCGCACGGGTGGTGGTGAGGGTGAAGTTAAATACCGTCTGTAAAGTGTGTCTAAGTGTCTGGCTCAGGGGCAGGGCCCAATAAATGGTAGCCACTTCCTGCTGTGATTTTTTTTTTTTTTTTTTAATCAGACAGCACAGGACCCACTGCCCCTGTCATGTTGGCTACATACAGCTCAGGCATTTTCTCAATGTGTCCCGCTTCCTCCAGGACTGCTCCAGGCCCGGCCAGAGGGGCTGGGCTGTCTGGCGAGGAGCCAGGGATGGGAGGGATCACGGGGCCTCCGGAAGCCGGGTCCAGGGAAAAGTGGAAGCTTCTTCCAGAGGTAGTGAGTGGCAGCTGTTTTGGGGGTGTCGGCATGCTCAGGGGGCCCCTTTGCGTGGAGCCCCCAGGCCTGCCTCGCCCTCCCGCCTCCCACGGCCGCTCACATGGGGAAAGGGCCTTGCTCTGTGCTTTCGGGGTGCCGGCACACCCTTTGTGCCATTTGCAACTCCGAAAACTGAGGCCGCTGAAACCGTTTTGGCTCAGTGGGTTGAGCATCGGTCTTCGGACTGAAAGGTCCCAGGTTCGATTCCGGTCAAGGCACATACATTGGTTGCAGGCACATCCCCGGTAGGGGTTGTGCAGGAGGTAGCTGGTCGATGTTTCTCTCTCTTCGATGTTTCTAGCTCTCTATCTCTCTCCCTTCCTCTCTGTGGAAAATCAATAAAATATATTTTAAAAAAAAAACAAAACAACAAAAAAAACAAAACTGAGGCCCCGAGTGGAGAATGGACTCGCCCAGGGGCTCCACGGAGCCCGTGACGCGGTTGGGCTCAAACCTGGTGCTTTCTGTTCTCACCGAGAGAAAGGACTTTGCACACCCGTTTGGATTCTTGGCGGATGAGCCATAAGGAGGGGTCCCCGTGGGGTCCCCGTCACCTTCCTGTCCCAAAGCCGGGCCTGAACGTTTCTGAGAAGCAGGACCGGCCTCCTGCGGCCTCGGTGTGACCTTCTGGAGCGTGTGCAGTGTCCTCCTCCCTCTGCCCCAGGCACGCCCCCTCCCCTCCTGCGACCAGCACCAGGTGGTGGTGTCCTTATCTGTTTGTAATTAATATTTAACACTTCAGGGTTGCCGGTTCAGGCCCAATATCTCCCCAGGAGAGGTGGGGGCCGCCCTCCCCAGCACCCCAGACCCACTCTCCTCTCGGCAGCCACTAAGTGGACATTAATGAGTGCTCCCCCTCTGCCTGCTCTGCAAACAAGCTGCTTCCTGTCGCTGGGGGTGAACTTGGCCCAAGGCTTTCTGTCTGCACCTTGTTAAGTAATGAACAACAGCTTCACAGCTGCATGGCTCTCACCAGGTAGGTGGGAGGGGGCAACAGAGAGGTGTTTTTTTTTATTAAAAGCCATAAACCTCTCTTCCACTCCACAGGGCCACATAGCTCTGTGCGCTCCTCCCAGGGACAGATGCCACAAGGACTCCGTGACTCTTGAGGGTGGAGTCTGAGTGCCTGCGGAGGGAGGGAGGTGAATGACCGAGACCTGTGACCCTCTTCAGGCTGGACCCCTCCCTGGACAGGCTGCAGGCTGCGGCCCACAGGTCTCTGGTCTCCTAGGCAGGCAGCCCAGGCCTGCAGTTACAGCCGAAACCACTAGGGGGCAGTGTCCCTGGGCGTGGGGCTGGGACCTGGGCATTCCTGAGTGACCCAGGCACTGAACCCATTATTAGCAGGACGCTCTGAGCTGCCTCCAGGCCTGGCAGAGCCCAGCAGGAGGAAAGGAGCAGTGGCAGTCGAGATGAGGAGGCTTCAGCAGGTGATGACTCATTGTGTAGTATTGATATTTACAAAGGAGGAAATGTTGCTCAGGGAAGTGACTCGCCCAGGTTGTTTCCTAAACTTGCCTCATCTTGAGAATCCCCTGGGAGCTTAATTAAAATACAACTTCCCTGGTCTCCCCTCCACTGCCACCTCCTGCCTTCCTTTTCCTCTTCCCCCTCCCTCCCCCTACACACACACACCTTCCTGCTAAATCCATGGCTCCTGGGGAATCCGGATTTTTAACAAGCATTCTTAGCGATTCACCTCAGACTCAGACTCGTTATAACAACAGTTTCCCTGTCCATGGCCTCGAGTCACCTCCCTGGAGTCACCCCCTTGTACCCCCTGGATGGGGGTAGGGCTACTTGGGTGGTATTTCAGTCTGTGCTGCCTGCAGATCCTTCTCCCTCCCTGCCTCCCACGCTCTGGACCCCAGGGTCATAGAGGAGTTGGTTGCCTGAGTTTTCAGCCGCAGAAGCGGGGCCGATGGAACTGGAGCTCCTGCCAGGTCCCCGGAGACCAGGCCCCTCTGGCCCCTCCCCGTCTGAGTGTCAGCCCGGACCAGGAAGCTGTGGCCAGATGTCAACACCGAGGCTTGTCCCTGTTGCAGTCCCGGCCCTGCCTTCCAGAAAGCGGGATAGACAAAAACAACAACCCGGCCTCGCCTGCTGGCACCCATCTGGCAGGACACGGGACACAGCTCTGAGACCAGCCCCCTGCTCCTTCCCCCGGGCGGCTGGAGCCCACGTTCCCCGCCCACCCTGCAGACAGAGGGGCACAAGGAAGATCCATTTGACCTGTAAGTGTGAGAACAGTGACCGGGAATAACCTGAAGTGCAGGAGTGACGGAGGGAGTGCAGGATAAGGGAGGTCGTGGGAGAAGCTCTGGGCCAGACAGCTCTCCATGTGGCCACGGGAGAGCCATCAGCTGTCTGGGGAAATGGTGAGGCGGTTGGGCATGGTTGGCAGGTGAAGTGGCGGTCAAAGGACTGTCCTACATGTGCATAAGCCCAGGGAAGGCAATATGAGGGAGAAGAAGAGAAGGGAGGGGGAGAAAGAAGGCAATGCTTTGAAGAATATACCCTAACCCTAACCCTCACCTAACCATGAGTCAAGGACTATAGCAGACATTTTACACATTGTAACCTCACACTCATCCTGCAAGATAAGAGTTCGTTCATTCATTCATTTCATTCATTCATCCATTCATCTTTAAACAAGCAGACACCGAGGGCCCAGCGATATGCCAGCCAGAGCTCTTGGGGTTAGGGATAAGACAGGCAGGCAAGTTCCCTGTTGCCTTAGATCTTACCTCCAATTTACCAACGAAAGAAAGAAAGCCCTTGCTTGGCCAGTGTGGCTTGTGGTTTAGTGTCTACCTATGAACCAGGAGGTCACGGTTTGATTCCTGGTCAGGGCACATGCCCATGTTTCAGGCTTGGTCCCCCCAGCAGGGGGCAAGCAGGAGGCAGCTGAAGGATGATTCTCTCTCATCATTGATGTTTCTATCTCTCTCTCCCTCTCCCTTTCTGAAGTCAATAAAAACAAAACCAAAATCAAAAATAAGGCCCAGGTCTGTGAGTGAGTACAGGTACCAGAACTGGGATTTGCATGCTCCACATCTAACCTCCACTCAGCCTCATGACCTGAGGGCTGGCTGTATTCACCATCAGGCACACCAGGGCCTCCTGTGAGGAGGGGGCATCCCTGGGGTTGGGTCAGCGGACGGGTGGGGAGGAGAAGGCTCTCAGTGGCCCTGGAGTCATGCAGGTGTCAGGGGGCTCTCATTCTGCAGACACTAGTCTCCTGGGCGCCAGACCTGTGCTTCAGGCTTCAGCGTCCTAGATGAATCTCTGCAATCAGATTGCAAGACAGGATTCGGGGACCCCGCTGTACAGAGATGGCTAGCGACGTCCCACGGCCACACAGCTAGCAAGTGGTGGCCCGCCCCCCAGGCTGCCACGGGGGGTCAGGGCTGCAGGACAAATCCCAAGCTCCTCTTTCCTGTGTGCACACCCACCCTCACAGCCAATGTCTACATGTGGATCTTGGGAAGCCTTAGTTTGGCTCAATACAAGATGGGAGAGAGCTGCCCAGTGTCCCCCCCAAAAGATGCTCTTAACACTGCGTCATGGTGGAGGGAAAATGCTTAGAAAGGGGCTTTCAGCTGGAGTCACTGCCCCCCTGACTGGCCCCTTGGACCCACAACTGGCGACACACTACTGACCAACCTGCCCCGCACTCGTGTTCGCCAGGTCTGGTTCCTCCAGGGTCGCTGCTA